TCCTCGCGTGTCGGCATTTTGAAGGACGCGTTCTTGTCCCGTTCTGCCTGCCTCCGCTGGCGTGTGAGCTTCCTTTGTTCTCTTGCCCTCAGGACGGTCCAAGTGAAGGCTAGCGTGTTGGGCCGTCCTATCAGTTACAAACGCGTCTTTTGTACAATTTGGTGTAAACATGTGTAATTTAGATACCGGGGACACGCCTGACGCCGACGGTTGCCCGAGGTAAATGCCCTCTATCAATTAAGTTGTTCGCTCTTCTCACACACCCCTAGCCCAATATTCTCTCTTACAGGACCGGTGGTATTAGTTTAGGTTAGTTTTTTAGTTGTTACTTAGTTTATTTTTAAATTTTAGTTGAGTTTTAACATAAGTTCGTTTTTTGTAGTTTAGCTGAGTTTATTTAGTCTGATTTAGTGTATAGTAGTTATTTAAGTAGAATTACCTAAGGTCGGTGGTATTTAACTAAACTAAAAAATAAACCAAATTAAACCCAAAATTAAAACAATAAACTAAATAATAAAAACTAAACTAAAACTAACTTAAAACTAAAAGGCAACCACAGGACTATGGATATCTAAGGTGGGCGACCAACTTAATTATTACCTTTTACCCTATCAGTTCTATCAATTTGAGTTAGGAAGTCATGTTTATGCCGGCACGGTCGACGAAGAGTGTGCACTTTGACTCGAGATAGGTAGGATGGGAGAAGGGGGCTCCGACTGCGTGGACCTGCGCCTTCTCCCACAAAATCTCCTCTTGACTTTGTCTCGAAGATGGGAGAGTGGAAAATCCCGTGAGGTAGATGTGACACAAGCTTATAATTCGCTATAATACAGTGCAACGTCGCCGTTTCTACACCACCCTGCTGTGGAGTACACTGTGAACCTATTCGAAATCAAGAGGCTAATGGGAAGTGCACGTAGCCCAGGCGATGAGAGATTTGCAGGGACAGTGCAGACAATTGAGGCGGGTGTAGTGGGTATGCTAGGGTTCCTGGCACTAGTCCCTGTGCGATTGGATCGCAAATGACTGACCAGGCCAATGCATGATGTGCATGTGCGGTGGTGTATCGAACTAGCCCGGACTAGGGGTGTCAGAACTCACCAAGGTCACTTATGCCGCGGATCCGGATAAGGACGGTATTAACGTCTGTTTATGAAGATACCGGTGTTCCTTCTCTTTCTCTTCGCTGACATTACTTCCCTCTCCAAACGTATCGTGTCGTATCGTAGTGTCCTCACCGTCAGCAATTTCACGGCTCTCACCTGCGGTTGTCCACAGCGCTGCACTCCCCACCGATATCTAACTAATATTCTGTGATTGCCTCTCACTCCAAATGGATCATCTGTACAGCTATTTGGTAACTCCTCGTATCGTACCCCCCTCTGTATTGTCCCCTATCTTTTTTATATCAACAGATCTTATTTGTCACTATATCATTATCCTTCTACCTCCTCATGCGTTTGCGTGTTGTGGTGTTTAAAAACCCCGTTCGGCGTTACATCCGGAGCCCTATACACATGAATTGCTCTTTTAGATGTGTGCCTCGACATCCTCGGCCCGTTACAGCGGCAGTGAGGGCAGTATAGGCTGGGCGCTGTAGAGGCGGTTACGGGTTCTGCTGGTAGTCGTGCTTGTGGACGGGGAGTCGTTAGCGCTGGAGATATGAGAGTTGGCAGATACGCTGAGCATCTTCGGAATGTTCGTATTGAGATAAGATCAGCTTTTGTGGATGCCCATATGACTGAGTGGGTCCCTGCGGTAGGTAAGTGTGCTATTGCAGTGAGAGCGATAGAGGTGGCGGTGTTGGCTTTATGTCGGTGCTCCAGACACTTATTCGTCAATCGCTGCGCGACGGATTCGCGCGTCACCGACTAGATTGACGTGTGAGGTGAATGAGTGATATCAATGAGGAAAGGTTAGAATCGAGCCCCCCGTTGCTGGGTCGATGGCGATGAAGGTAGCAGGTGGTGAGACATCGGAGGTGGTTATGGCGGTGATGAGATAGCGGGGGGTGCCATTGGTGGTGGTCGTTGCTGTGATCGGCGCAGCGGTTGCAGCATGGAGTATCGTGCCGGTGATACAGGACGGCGGAGCATTGGTAGAGTTTGTCGAAAGCTGTTGGTGCCTACAACAGAAGGTTCCCCAAATCACAAGTCAGGGAAGACGGAATAAAGTGGAACAGCTTTACTGCCGGAAAATTAACTGTACAAAGGCTGCGTCACGCGCCAGGTTACATCTATGTCTGCACGCCAGGTGCGTCCGTGAAGTTGTGAGACCTTGAATGTGGAATAAATGCTATGTCAACTACAGCCAATCAAATGAAGCAGGAGTATCGATTAACTTCGAGCGTACACCCGGCCAGTCGACAGAGAGCGTATGAAAGGACAAGAGCACGCAGCGTGCAAGGCTTGGCGAAGACTGCATGAGTCAGCGCAGCGACGCTGGGCACGCGGACTCCCACAAGTTCTCACTGGTGGTGGAGGTGGTCATCGTCGTGGACGCTGTAAGGTTCGAGGCAGGGATGGTACAAGGTCTGTTCGTTAATGCAGAAATTGATATGATCGGAGCATGGTTGCATTGCGTCCGAAGGAAACCAACAAGGCCGATTTGCGAGCAGGAGATGTGTCGACTGTGTGGGCATGTTCGGATTGCTTGAGCCTTGACGCTGTTGATCCGAGGCGCTTGTGACGTGCGAGCCGCCCTTTTGGCCTTAGTAGCAGTGATCAGGATGTATCCTACACACAAATATGCGTATTACTGAAGAATTTTACTGAATGAAATGCGTCAGTATCGTCCCGCATATGAAATAAACTGGGCAAACTAACTGAGGACGCAGGTACCAGGACTAAAAGGCCCGCTGTTCGCAGGAATCCTCGAATCAGGATAAAATCTGCGATATATACATTTAGATATGAGGTAGAACCGACAAAGACAAGGGCGACCGGAATGGCAGTTTTTGACTTTTTAGAATATTCTAATATCGGTCCCATTCCTTTGCTCTATAGTCACTAACTTTCATAATAGGCCAGTCGGTAAGGTCACCTATAGGCACCACAATTCTTAAAACAAACTTGCTTATTTTTGGTGCTGAAACGATTACCAATAGTGAATTAACTAACATTCCGCATTAATGTTTTCCATAAGCTGCTGATAAGAAAGTTGATACGAAAACTAACTTGGAATAAAAAAATGCTCAATTGTGTGTACTAAAGTCGTTTTTTTCATTTATTATAACGTTAGTGTAAGCTATACTGAAGCAAAGATTGTTACTCGATTGAGACAGATACAGTTATTGCAACTAGCACAGTTAGCCTGTAAGAGAAAAGAGGGCCAACAGAATTAGGGACAAAAGTAGCTTATGTAGGCCCACTCATATACCCCTAGTCGCAGCATTTTGTCCCGCAAAAACGGTGGTTATAGGGTTTCGGGGTGGGAAATAGGATAGGCAGAGAAGGAAATTTTTAGAAGTAAGTGTAAA